CGCCCTGCTGGCCACGGTTCTCTAGATACAGCCCAGGATACGGTTGGCCTTCTGGGCTGCCAGCGCACACTTACAGCTCATGTTCAGCTTTTCATCCACCCCAAGTCCTTCTCCTCAGGGCTGCTCTCAATCCATTCTCCACTGAGCCTGTACTTGTATTTGGGATTGCCTTGACCCAGGTGCAGTACCTTGCACTTCACATTATTGAACACCATGATGTTAGCAGTGGCCCACCTCTCCAGCCTGTCCAGGTTCCTCTGGATGGCATCCCTTCCATGCCCGTATTTTAGTCCTCAACTGTGCTGTTTTAACCATACTAGCATTACAAGCTGCTGCTCAGTGTTTTCCCATATATCTGGTTTCTTATCTAAGGTGAAACTAAAACAGATGAAAATTCAAACAAAGAAACTTCTGAGGAAAAACAAGAAGAAGATAATGACTACCACCGAAGTGATGAACAGGTGAGCTCATAGGCCATGTTTTAGTTTTATCTTGTATTTTAGTTTTAGTGCTTTGGCAAGCTATCAGAGAAGAAAAATAATTTTCATGCTACTTTTTCTGTCCTCTGATACAAACAAGATGCAGTGTTGCCCAATGTTTTTGTGTAAGAATGAGTTTCATCTCATTTCATGGGTTTTGTCAGGAATGGAGAAGATGTTAAAGACATTTACATTAAGATTTGATAGTTCTGTTTGTTTATGACTTTCCAAAGTACTTGTTTTCAAAACAGATTCAGGTTATTTGGCCCTCTTTATGAAGGACTGTATCCCAGTGTTATTGTGATACATCGAGCTGAATGTGTATCAATAATTAGGAATATAACTGTTTGCACTTTTACTAACTTACTATTTATTTTGCTTTAAACCCCTACTACTAAGACAGTGTTAGCCCTATACCATAAAAATGGTATGAAAATTGGGAAGTTCACTACTAAGTTTTAAACACAAAATGTGTTTGAAAGTGAAATCTCCTTTTGGGTTAAGCAAGTAATTCTTTTTATGTTTTCCTGTTGTGTGTGTCCAGAGTAAATTGAACTTGGACTAATTTTCTTTTAAATTATAATGTAAGGGAGCTTTCAAAGGGATTGTACCTAGTACTAGATCCTCTTTGTGCATAAAGTAAGTCATCACAAAGAGCTTAGACTAAGTAATGAATAACTAGATGAGAAAAGACATAGAATTGAAGCATAGAAATTAGAAATCTTTTCAGAGGAGTTGTCATGTTTAAAACAGAACTTAAAGTTATTAATTCTGTTTTAAACTGACCTTAGCATTGCATTAAAAGCAAGAAGTTACATTAGAAGTAATCATTAAAAACTGGGAATGGTATTCTTACTGTTTATCTTACTCTAGCTTTTGACATAGGGTCCTCTTGAACTACTGGCAGCCTGTGAGTTTGGACTGGATCAGCCTTGTTCCAACATCAAAAATTCTTTCTTGAACTTTTTTTGTCTAGATCCATTTTAATTGCAGTAGTAATTAACACTAAACTGACAAGATGTTAGAATTTATTTTTTTTTAATAGGACTATAGGCATTTCAGTTTAAGGCATAGTAGTACTGTACTTTTTCACCTTTTTAGTATTAATAAAGCTTGCACATGGAATACATAAGGAGGACTGCAAAAAATGGTTCCAGCCAACCTTGCCTTTTTTTCTGTTTTCTGAAGGTAAGCATCTGCTTGGAGTGCAATAGCAGCAAATTACGTGGATTGAAACGAAAATGGATTCGCTGCTCAGCACAAGCAACAGTCTTGCATCTGAAGAAGTTCATTGCCAAAAAGCTTAACCTCTCTTCTTTTAATGAGGTAATATTTTAATTTTTTTAAATGATTTGCAGACACAAAAACCTTATGAAAAGTGTGGGATTGTTCCTTGGCAAAGTAATGTCTTTCAGTCTGATTTTATATTCAGAAAACAGAAGGCACTAGGTAGGCACGGACATGTTTTTTTCAGCACTTTGTGTTGAGAAAAGACTATCTTTCTCGGTACTATTGTCTGCAGAGCAACTGCAAGATGAATGGTTCTATTGTCTTCAGAGAAACAAAAACTTGTCAAATATTTGTAGCATTATCTGAAGTATGTTGTTTCATGTACTGTTTCCCAATGAATTAACTGTCATCTTTGTTTTGTCAGCTGGACATATTATGCAATGAAGAGATTCTTGGCAAGGACCACACGCTCAAGTTTGTAGTTGTTACTAGGTGGAGATTTAAGGTATGACACAGCGGTTCCACGAAATTGATGAAGTGGCCAAGTGAAATGTTTCTAAAATAGCCATCATTTGAAACGTATACAGCAGCAACTGCAAACTCGATAAAAAGATATTTTAATAAATATCTAATACAACATCCTTAAACATCAAGTATTAATTTTGCTTCCAATAAAATGAAGGAAAGGGGAATTAAATATTAACTACAAGGGAAAAGAGAACACTGCATCAACTATCAAATTGTTACCAAGTCTGGCAAAGGAAGTGAAAACCACAAAAAAGTACTACTTTTAGTTATTTCAGGTAAAATTGGTTTTAATCCACATAGGTGGGGAAATTGATTTTCATGCAGAAAAGGCAAATTTTCAACAGTTCTATAACCCAAGAAGGCTCTTCTAAAGGAGAGGTAGTAATTCCAGTGCTTCTTTGCCATGGTTAAGGAAACTTGTAGCAGCATTTCATAGGCATAAACAAGGCTGGTTACAAGTGTTTGAGTACATCTTTGATTTGCTTATCGTGGTTTCACTAAACCCACTTCCTTGAATCACGTGAGGCCTGTTAAGTATGAAGTACAACATGCTCTTATGCTGATTTCTAGACATCTGCATTTCTCCCTTACTGGGAATGGGTTTTCCAAGTTAAACAGACTTGGTAGAACTGATCTTAAGGTGATCAGGTCCTGAGAAAAAAGGGAAAAGATTTTTCATCTCTTGTTTGAGCTCCACAGATGAAACTGCATCTTGTCTTTTTCTTGAGGAGACTTTGACAGGTCAGATAGCTACTCTGAGTTAATTTAAGTTTTAGTTCATTTAAGTTCATTTAAGCTTTTATTATCATTTAGTTCATTTAAGTTCGTTTAAGATTTAGTTTATAAAAGAAGTTTTACCTACTGAACAGATCAGTTCTTGTTTTGTTTCTTAACTATTCTGGTATTTCTGTCTTGCAGAAAGCACCTCTACTGCTACATTACAGACCCAAAATGGACTTGCTGTAAGAGAACTTTATTGTCCTTCTGGACAGAGTTTTTGCAGAGACTATCATCTGGCACCTTCTTAGTGCATCACTAATCACACGACACAAACCAGCTGAATAATTTTGGAAGACTGTAGAGCTTCATAGTAGACTGTCCTTCTGAATATTTCTTCTAGGGAAGTGTTACCTAGACTTCCGGACAGAACATATTTATACTTTTTTTGTATGGAAGAAAGAAGTCTCAACTCAACAAGACACTACCAGCACTAAGTTTACAGATACTGAAAACACTTCACAGTTCCATGTAGCTCAGCCTGATTTATCTCTTACAGTTACACAGAAATAAGTTAGAGTGTTGGGTGATTTAAAAATGTTGCTTTTGACACCAAGTTGCATTTAGTTACTTTTCACATTCCGAATCTTTAAAAACTATATTTTTGCAAAATGTTATTGTCTTATACAGTATGCCTGATTGCATTGGCTTTATTCAAGTTATTCTATAGAGCATTGAACATACCTAACGATATAGTGACTGGTGATAATTTATTATGCTGCACTGAAAACTTCTGAAAATCTGGGAAACCGATAAGTTTGTCATTTTTGCCCAGCTATTGCTCTTCCTCACTTTGTATTTTAGTAAAGTTTTCATACTCTCCTATGCATGTTGATTTAGTAAGTTTAATAGATTGATTTTAACGTGCCCTGAGATTTTGCTGTGGCATATATTGCACCACATAATGACAAATACTCAAAAGTGTGAGATTTTGAACTTTTTCAAAAATAAAACATTTCTTACTTAGGTGTGGCTTGCAGAAATCAGTTTTTAATTTAGAGAGAATTTGTTCTGACTAGCTGTCGAAATACTGGCTCTTGGGCAATTTTGGATGATGTTGCACAGTTTTCATTTCACAGATTAAAAATTCCTCAGATCATTATGAACAGCTTTATATTTCCTTTACACATTTTCTTATGAAACCATAGCATTTTCTTTAGCATAATTCCTAGCTGTCAGGGAGGGGGGAGGGGAGAGGGAGAGGGGAGGGGTCAGACAAGATTATTTTAGCACCTTTTGGCCTTAACTGATAATTTTGCTTGCATCAGCTCTAATGGATGCGAGGTAATACACGTGCATTTATGTATGTGTGCATACATCTGTACACACATACATATAACTATGTATGTCATAGGCTGCACCCTCCGTAGCACTTAGCAGGGTTCACTGCACTTTTTGTAAGGCTTTCTGAAGTAGTTGCTTTTTAAAAGCAGTAGTAGAAAGTGATTTCTGCAAGCTGTATACAGTGTAGAATGTTGTGCTGGATTCAGCCAGGAAAGGGTTAAACCTCTTTAACCCTTTTGTGAGAGCGGCTTCATGGTGTTTTGCTAGCCAGAGTTAAACCACAACAAATGTATAGTATGGTTATGAGAGTATTTGTCTGGCACAGGTGTCAAACTGAAAACAGGCTATGCCATATTATTGACAGATAGAAATAGTTGACCTAATTTTTAGTAAAGTTTTTTTCCAATCCGCTGAAAATATTAGTTGCTATCCCTATTGTTAAACCCTGTTATTTTTTGATAAATTGTCTTTGGATAAGAAAACAAGTTTGCCTGTGACTGCCCTGCTTCCTTTAGCCATGTTCCTTTCCCTTTTCTGCTAGAAAGTAACCACTTATAACCTGATAACAGGAGGCTGATAACTGCAAGAAGTTTATCCAAGCATTTTACATCTTCCTCTCCTTGAGTTTTCCGAGCACCACATTGCTCAGCATGTGTTCCATACTCTCCTTCTTAGGAGTCTTCAATCCTCCCTTCTCAGCTCTGCTGCTGCAGAAGGGATGCTCCAACCTGTGTTTACCTTTGAAATCAGGATTCTTCATTTTTAATTACAGTCACAGATGTGAATGGAAAGGAAATCAAAAGGTATGTAAGCAGAGAATGAAAGGGAGCCTACTGAACCGTGGAGATGGAAAAGAGAGTCACAAAAAGGCCAAAAAGTGCTGCTGTCCTTGCAGATGGAGGTATAGGATAGCTGCATTTGAATGTTTGGGTTACGCAGAACTCCCCATCTAGGCTGGGTGGCTGGGTTTGTGTGTTGGGGGCAGTGTGTATGCATGCATATGAGTGATGGAATCGAACTTGACTCTGGTTTTATCTTATACTGACATCTGAATCCACAAATAGTATTTTAGCTTTTTTTCCTGTCTTTAATATTACTTGAACTGGCACAAGAGAACAAATGAGGTCATGGATCTACCATTTTTATAATCTTGTCATGAAATAGTGAGTGCAGGTTTTATGGATGAGTACACAAACTGACATATTGGGCCTTTCGGGAGCTGTTTAGGTGGTCGTTACTGTCCTAGTGTAAATAAGGGACTGACTTCAGCCACTGAGGCACTGACAGTTTGAACAGGGCTGTAAGTGTCCACCCTTCGTGCACCCTCAGTATACAGACACTGGCTATACCTGTTGTAGACATAAAATTAAAGCTGCAAGACAGCATTCAGATTAACCACCTTAATCAGTATATATATATAAACGTAAAAACAAATATATATCTGTCTACCTCGCAATGTGTGTACTGCAGAAACTTTTTGTATGACTAGACATTGATGCAGTGCTGTTAAAATACATTGCCATTTTAGTACTTTCCTGTGTATGTGTGCAACTGAGAAATTAGTTATGAATACGCAAATTCAAAAGCCTTTCAAATCTCTCTCTTGCTGTAACAATTTACAGTATAGACCATATAAGTTTATCAGCATCTTTAGAATCGCTTGAATTTGTTATGGTGCTATCATATATTGAATACTCTGTTTATACCTATGTGGATACATAAAGTCAAGCCAGTATTAATACCTACAGCTGTGGGTGGTTTTATAGTTTTTCTCCTCATAGTTGTGTGTAACTGCTTTTGCAATGTGTTTAATCTGATAAAACTTCACCAGGAAAAAAGAAAAAAACAAAACCACAAATACAAACGCACCCAGTTGTTTTTCTAAATCACATGTCACAACATCTTTGCTACAGAAAATCTTTCCCTCAGGACGGATGTGACCATATGTTTATGTCTTTTAGCCGTATTAAAAGGCTGCCATGCAATTGAATTGAAATCAGAGGGAGGTCTCTTTTGGGTCAGAGACTTAACATAGAATGGTTTGGGTTGGA